AAGGCTGCGAGAGCGCGGGCGGTGCGGGACGGGGTCACTGCTGCGCAGCCTGCTGCATCTGCGCCTGCCGCTTGGCTTTCGTCTGGAGGTACCTGCCCTTCCCTTCCTCGAAGCGCCGCTTCTCGTCCTCCGTCTCCGTCTGCCGGGGCCAGAAGGAAAGTGAAGCCGCCGGCGTTAGTGGGAGGCAGGGAAACGCGCCTCCCCCGGCCAGGAAACGCAACAGAAAACCTATGCTCTGGGAAATACGTGTTTTGACAGCTCAGGTATAATCAGCTGATAAAATACTCCGAAATGCAGAAAAGCAGAGAGCAGGAGGAGACCTGCGTGGGATAAAATATTAATTGAGAAACAGCCCCCAGTCAGCAGCGTCACATTAGGCAGAGCCCTGCTGGGATGAGGGGAGCTACAAACAGGCAGGAGGACTGGAGTGGGGACGCCATGGGGAGCACAGATGGCGCACACGGGGGCCTCCATCACTGCTCGGGGTCCCTTCCGGTGCATCTCCAGCTGCAGACCCTGCACACAACCTGTCCTCAACCATGACAAAGGAAAAAAAACCCCAGTCCCCACACTGGCAATTTTCAGCCAAAATAAGCTCCAAAAAAGCACCTTGAAGCCTGCTCTGCAAAGGCTCATTAATGCTCATGATTTTCTGCTGAATAAAATGAGGGAAGAGGATTTGTTGGACAAAAAAGGCAGGTGGGGTCTGCCCTGGAGGAGCAGGAGAGGGGCTGGCTCATAGCCCGGCAGCAAGAGCTCTTACCAGCAGCTGTGGGACGGGCAGGGGCTTCCCCTCCTTGCTCAGTGAGACATAGGTGAAGAAGGCGCTGACGGCACGGTACCGCTCCCGAGTATCATCCACAAACGGATCAGCATCCACAAAGACTTCAATTTCCATGGATTTATTGCTTGTGAAGGTCATGCGTCCCGAAATGGTGATGACGCTGCCTGCAAAGCAGAGAGGGGCTGGGTAAGAAGGCTGCCCTTACTTCAGCTCAGGGGAAGCTCCCACAGGGGGTCCCGCACATTTTATGCTTAAGCCATATCTTAAGCAGAGCTTCTCAGCACAGAACAAGTCTAACAGGGACTAAATTTCTCTGTCAGTGTGTCCCAAGCACATGTCCCAAGGGAGCTGGGACACAGCACTGTGGGAGAGCGAAGTGTCCGCCACCAACCCCGGTACCTTTTTTGATCTTCTCGTGGAAGTTGATGGCATCCACCGAGGCGGTGACGATGTTGGTCTTGCAGTGGCGGGCAGCCCCAAACCCACGCCCCCCGCGGGTGACGTGTTTGGTTTTGCGGTGGCGGCCAGCCACAATCCCAGCGACCTCGTCCATGAGCTTCATGGTGACACCTGTGGGGAGGCAGAGGGTCCCAGCTCAGGGGAGCCAGTGGGATTTTGGGAAAAGCCATGTGTAGGTTGGTAAGACTTTTGCACAACCAAAGCTACACCAAGGAGTCGGACCAGAGACTGAAAGCTCTTGTCTCAGATGAAGTTACACCAAACCTTACAAACAGTGGGGAAAGGCCTGAGAACCTTCAGAAGCCAAGCCCACCTCCCAAAAACACCAAGAGACGAGTCGCTCTCCCACCGCACTTCTTCTCCAGGGAACACCAGCCCAGCTGGTGAAGGGGGCCACGCTCACCCACCTCCGTGCACGAAGCCCAGCAGCGTGCAGTCCGATGGTCCCACCAGGTGGATCAGGCTGGACTGGCTGTAGCCAACAGTGTGTGGTTCTGGGTAAAGGGCAAAACAGATGTCAGTGGCCTGGCTACAACCTGCACACTGCCATACACCCCTGTCTTAAACCCTCTGAAGGGAGAAAATGTGGGGCTGTGCAGAGCTGAAGTACATTCAAACCAGTGTTTAAATTGGCCCCAAGAAGCAGAGGCTTCTTCTTCCCAAAAACGTCCCAAGAGCAGAGGCTGTTCACTGCCCAACAGGCTGCCACCTCCCTCTAATCCTACCCATCATTTTTTTTCCAGCTCAGCGCATTTCTTTCTTAAAAGCTTTCACAGAGCCCGAAAGCAAATGAGAGTGAACTGGATGAGCATGTGGCCATACGCTTTCCCTCCTCAGGCCACCAGCAGCAGCCAAATCTCCTTGAACCTGCCACTCAGCAGCATCTCCAAAGAGCCATGCTTTTGGCCCCCACCCTCCAGCCCTGGCGTGTGCTGGTGACTTCTGACTTGCCACTAAACCCAGGCAGCAGAAATGGCACCCTCAGAGTGCCAGCAGAGGAAAACTGCACTTGCGGGTGGCTGCGTTTTCCATCTAACAAGAGGTGCTAAAGGCCCTGAGCACAGGGAGAACCCGTCGAGCCCCCAGCCACAGGGAGGGGGACACCCACACAGCAGCGCCCGGGGAGCCTTCCTTACCTTTCGTCTGCCTATCTGTGAGTAGGAAGAACAGAGGGGAAAAAAGCATTTAAGCAACTTTCATCCCGCATCACGACCCCACGATCCCCACGCGCCACCACTCCACCTCTGCCTGAGGACCACGGCCGGTCCCAGCGGCCACCAGCCACGCGCCCCTCGGCCTGCTGTTGGTCACCCCCCGGAGGACCGCGGCCGGCCCCGGCGCCCCCCAGCCACGCGCCCCTCGGCTTGCTGTTGGTACCACCACTGTGCTTCCAGAAGAAAGGGATCCTCAGCAATCCCTCACGAGAGCGTGACCCCCAGCCCCGCCCCATCGTCCATCCCCCCTTCAAACACTGGCAGGTCAACTTTTTGCTAAAAAACGTCTTCCAGAGAGGGGCTGCAGCTGCAGAGCATGCAGACCTCTCACCCAGCACTTGTGTGTACCCTGTCTGTGCTGAGCAAAACCAGCTCCCGCCGCCCTGAGTGCATGAGGGATGCAGGAGTGTCATCAGGAATGGTGTTTCAGCAGAGGGCATCCCACCCACCAGCTCCAGTGGGGAATAGCAGGTGCTCACCCAGTTCCCCCTCCACTCACACCCCTCAGCTTCCAAATCCCAACCCCAACGCAGTGTTTCAGGGTGCATGCTCGCAGCCGTGGGTGTGCAGGGATGGCTGGAGTTGCCTCAGGGAGCAGTTCAGCCTCCCAGCACTGCCAGGACATTTCCACAGGCCATGTGCCACCTGCATTACCTGGGTTGATGATGGGGAAGATCACGTCACCATTTCTTTGCTTAGTTTCCAGCCGATCCAACTTTTGCTCCTCATAACGCTTCTTCCCCTCCTCTTCCTGCTCCTTTCTCGCATACTGGAAGGAAAGGTCGGTACGCACGGAGTCACAAAGCCACCAGCACAGCCAGGGGTGCCAAGAGGGCCAGGTTAACACCGTTCCCCTGGAGAGGGTGAGCCCCAGTTCTTGGGGAGCAAGGCGAGCCATCCTACCTGGATGGGGGGAACCTCAAGGACCTTGTTCACGTTCTTCAGGGACAGCGGCACATACCACAGCGTTGCCTTATTTGTCACTTTCTTTGCCCCTGGAGGAGAGGGGGGCAGAGGGTCACTGTGCCGATGGCAGCAGCACTTCACCTGCCACTGGCGCTGCCACGGTCCAGGGCTGGCCACGTACTGGTGATGCCGCCGGCACTGGGCAGCCCCCTGCCCTGCCGGGCTTTGGCTCAGACCGGATGAAACAATGTGCTTTTGGGAAGGCGTCCTGGCAAGAGGAGCCGGTTGCTACAGCAACAACAGGAAAAGGGCTGTTTTCAGGCCAAAGGCAGCCACAAGCAGCAAATTACACAGAAGGAGCTAACAGCAGACTTTTCTGTTCTTCACTAATAACTATCAATGGAGCCATAAACCCTAGAAGCTTGGTTGGCTTCCCTTCCAGCACCAACCTTCCCATCACCTCAGCACTCCCGGTATAAAGGCAAGATCTCTCCCTGATGCTGCCAGCAACAGTGAGTGAGGAAGGGGGGTCACTGTCACGAGCTCTCAGCTTATCACAGTTATTCCTGGAATTTTGGGAAAGAGCAGTCAGCAGCCGCCCACCTGTTAAAATGTTTTCAGACATGACGTTGACCTGGACCTCCACAGAGTGCCGGGAAGTGTAAGTGATCTCAGCGCTGACATTGGCCACCTCACCAATGCACACTGGGGAGAGGAAGTCCGTCCGCTCCACCCTCGCCAGGGCGGCCACACAGGGCTCCTGGGGACAGCAGAACAGTGAGGGGAGTGGCCACAGTCACGCCACACGGGACCTCGCCCAGCGCCTCCCCGGGGCCGGCCCCTGCCGCACATGGCTCCAGCACTGCGGCCACCACCTTATCAGCTGGTGGCTGTGCCTCCTTCCCCACCCATAACCAACAGTGATTCCACCTCCAACACTCCCTTCATGGGAGTTAAAACATCAACAGCAGCATAATAACGTTC